ATATTAGTAATTACTGTTAGTATGAAGAGAGAAACCTGGAAGCACTAACTCAATCAATAATAATCCAAATAGTATAGAATAGATATATTAGAAATCTAACATTGTTAGTAGGGTTAGTAATCACAACAACATTTTCTATTTTATAGTTTTATTCTTAATTGCTAAAAGTTATTACACAAATGGGTCCAGAAAAGTTAGAAACATCTCCAAAAAATTAATGTCAAATTGTAATATATAAATACTTAGCAGCAAAAAAGTTGAATTACAAAGTACCTTTTTTAATTTTTTTCAAAATTATCTGAACAATATATAGACCAAATTTTTGAATTCTAAAAAAATGTGGGACTTGTTTAACCTGAGCAGAGAAGCTGTATCATGAATATTCATGTTTTTGTTGGTAATCAATTGCAGCGCTTGTAGCAAGCAGTCTGGATGATCACATTTGTAAATTGTATTGGAAAATTGATTGGTTGTCTTGTTTATAAAAAAAATGACCAGTCATGACACTTCTCTGCTTGTCAATTGGGGAATAGAAAAATAAACAAATAGAAAGAAACCACCACACCTGAGAAACAAATTCTATCAATACAAAACATAAGTTTGTTTATTTTTTTTTTAAACAAAACATAGAAACTTTAGTTTCATATTTGTTATATAATCCAACAAAAATACTAATAAAATGTCCCCATATACAAAAGACAATAAAATCGCCACAAACAGCAAATGGTAAACACCTCAAGTAACTGAACATCATCCATACAAATCACAAACTTTTATCAACAGTAAATTTTCAGATAAAGATGAATATACCCATAAAAATGAACTATTGTCAGTAAAATATTCTCTTGAGTGATCTCAATAATTGGGCCAGAGGTACATTGCAGGACAAGTACTTTGATGAAGAATTCTTAGACTTTTTTAATACAGCTTGGCTATGTTGTTAAGACTAAAAAGAGTTTATCTGACAACAGATCATGTAACAGGATACTGCATCTGGCCAGTGATTGTAACCACAACTCAAATGTTATTAATATGTATGAACATTTAATATGTACTGCATTTCCTCTATTAGGAGTGCTAAACGAATTGATAGAGGCTTTGAAATCTTCAAAGATAATGTATGTGTAGTTTATCTGTTCAGTGTATTCAAATGTTGCAAACTGACAGTGGATGTTAGTTTGCAACTCAAATACATTCCCCACTATGTCAATAATCAAAATTCTATTGTAATCTCCTCAGACTGCAACAGAGCCAAATTAAAAAGATGCATTGTTATATATATATATATATATATATATATATATATGTATGTATATATATGTATATTTATATATATATTAATGTCAACAGATGGTTTTGTGATCCAGTGCTTAATAAAACCAAAATGATCTACGGTAATAGAGGGAACTCAGCACTTAAGACAACAGCTACAGATGATCAGAAATTATGTTTTCTTAATTTAGGTTTAAAAATATATGTTTGTGTAACTATTCTGATATGATTCTGAGCTGCAGTGGAGGATGTTCATACATACTAAAAATCATAAGTTTGAGATACGGATGTTAATAAAGAATAACACATCATGAACAGCTTTCAAGCACATTTCCAAGCTCAACAGGGAAAAATGTGGCTTATAATTTAAACATTCAATAATAACTTTAGGTGAATAAAATAAAATTTTTAAAAAACAATAAAACTCCTTCAAAAATAACATTTGAGCAATTCTGTTGTCAAAAACAAAATTAATATATTACCAATAATTTCCAAAAATTACACTCTTATTTGCACATGAAGCAATAAAATATAATGCCAATACCAGGGGAATGGATATACGAAATAAAATAGGGTAAAAATCAAAAATAAAGAAATTTGTATCACGAAAAGTGTTATAAACATCTATCCTATACAGATTATGACTAGTAAATCTCTTACAAAAAAGGACTATGCTTGCTCTGAAGAATTGAAGCAAGAATAGGGCAGAGGCAACAGGGTTTTTACCTTTTCACACTTTGGGTGAACACCTTTCCCAAAACGCACAGAAAACACTGTTATATTCCACAAATATTGCACATAAAAATAATTAAGAAGTTTGCCCTGATTGTTTTTAATTTGATGTGATGTATGTAAAATAAAAAAAGAAATACTCCTCCCAAATATGATTTACAAATTATGTTAGTTTTCAGTCGTGTTTGTGTAGCACCATGCAAACATACATATAGGCTGTTGTAATGTCCTTCCCTGTACTTTGCTTGCCCCAAGTACATATGTCAAATACAGTCAAAGTCACTGGTCCTAAAACTCGAAAAAATACAAAAATGGAATATTATAAATCTGAGAACAGTGAAACTGTAATTACAAAGTTTTAAAGATATATTAACTCTGGTTTTTGTTTTTATTTTTGTCCAAACTAGCTACTTTATAATAAAAAAAGGTTTAAAAGCTTTCAAGTTTTTTTTTTTTTTCATATGCAAAAAGCTTAATAATATTAAATGAGAAAAATAAAACAGATACCCAATGTATTTAAATTTAAATCATCTGATTGCAAAAGTTTTAAATTAATAATCTTATATTCAATTTCAGCGCACAGGGTATATTATGAATAAATCAACAAAAATGATTTGTTTTTGTCCTAAAACCTGACTAACAATAGAATGAGGTAAACTTTAGCAAAAAATAAGGATCTACAAAGTATTGGAAAAAAAATAGAGCTATAAAAAAGTTGGCATGAAAAGACCATGAACAATAAATTTGTATAAATGCGGCACCAAGATATGGTAATTTACATTTCTTATTCTGTGGAATGACCAGTTATATGAAAGCTGACAATGAAGTTGGTGCAAATAGGAAAGTGCTGTCTCTTTTACTTGAATTCAGAGAAAAGTACAAGTGTACAAAAAAATTAAGGAAAAATCTAAAAAACAGTCTTCTGTCAAGTTCATCTTCCAAACATGTACAATCATCTTAAATATTTACTGTGCACAAAACTTTTTTTCATATACACATCATTCACAAAAATTTTAAGAAAAACAAGTACAGTTTATAACATACAGATGCCTGGACAGTATTTATAGTTTTAACAGTAACAATAAAGACAGACATGGAACACATTAAAAACAACTACCGGTACTGCTACTGCTACTACAACTACAACTAACAACACGAACTTCGTGTTTGGTAGCATTTCCTCAAACAAGCATTCAATTTTTGTCTCAAGTTGTTACCCGCATTAACAGTTATACAAAGCTCTATCCTCGGCTTTCCTGTAAAGTAAACAGTCTGACAAAACCCCCAATGCAAATGTAGGCATTTTAGCATCACGACTCAATTCTGGTATTGTAGGGAAGCTGTAGATTTGTTGAATTCCTAGAATAAAGTGAATTTGGGGTATAATGCCAGCTGTCACAAACAATCTATGATGTGTCAATCATAGAAACAAACGTCAATCACAGACTCTTTATAATGACTATTTTGCAATAATAACTTAGGTATCAGAAAAAAACAAATGCAAAATAAAGAATCTGCGACTGAATAACCTCCCCTCTCTCAAAATAGAATAGTCCAGTACAAAGATAGGACCAAACTAAAGTAAAAGAGAGGAAGAGGTGATATGATCACTTCTGTTTATGAAACACAGAAATTGGTGATCCCAGTTAATATTGGCTGGCATTCCTAATGCCTATCTATAGGCAAATATCTACCAAAATACAACAACATACTAGAAAAAACTAATTAAAAAATGGCAGGCAAAATGATTATTAACAATAATTAAATACATCATAGTAAAGCTTATGTCCTGGCAAAATAATTTATAAATAATTTTATATAGATTGCACAAATGGTAATTGGCATGCACAAAACAAATGTTTCATGAAAGTCTGTAGTGTACAACAGATGTTGATTGTAGAAAAATTACATTTAAGTGTAAATATTAAACATGCAACTCTCATTTTGACTACTACGACATCGAAATGAGATTTTGATGATAGAACTATAGGATAGAACAAGTACTTTGAGACTGTTGTTGTTTTTTTTTTTTTTTTTTTTTTTTTTTTTTTGACAAACCATAGTTAGTTTTGATATCATGCAAAAATGGCTAGAAATCCAAAAATACAAAATATTGCAGCACAAAGTACTTCATAGGATGTTATAAATTATGTTTAGCACACAGTTGATACACAAAATTTGAAATATCAATTCTTGAGTTGCTCATTCAATAAGAAATAATCCTTCACACAAGCCAAAAGTGTGTAATGCTGCGGCTTCAATTTGTAACACATCTCTTGCAACTTCACGTTAGTAATATATATCAATATACAAGTCAACATTGTACTTGTATGTTCTTTGGTACACTATCACATCACATTTATAAAATGGCACTCATTGCTACTGTTCAAATTTCATTTTAAATTAGGCAGTATTAGTCTGTAAATTTTCTATAGTAGTACAAAATAGATGTACCATAGTAATAATAATAATCAGCTCATCAACACTGTCATTAAAATTGACTAATAAAAATGTAAATTCAGAAACCAGTCTAGGTATAATGGGAAAACTGGTCGTCTTCTGGTAAATGGATAAGAAGGGGTTAGAGAATATCTATACTATACATGTCTGTACAGAGAACCCAGCCACTGTTCTCTGTTATTGCCATGTATTATGTAACATATCAAATACCGTACCTGTAGTTCAAAACAAGTCACAATCTAACTTATTACAAAAAGTCTCGTATTTCAAATGAAATATTCATGGTGCTTGCATGCAGCAAAAATATTTTATACTCAAAATATTCTGAATCTTGTTTTTGTCTTCGGCAAGATTTTGAACTTGCGCTAAAATATAATGAATTTTACATATATTAAATGTTTGACCAAAATACTTACAATCAAGTCTCATGCAAAAAAACCATACTAGGATATCTAATAAGCATTACCTGAATGCTGATAGGTAGAATGTAATATGAAAAAAAAGAAGACACAAATTGTATTCTTAGAAATATGGAGCTTTTTAGTTATCTCTATGCTTCTGGGTACGGCATCAGATGTAAATTTAACACCAGCGAAAGGGAACAGTACGTGGACGGTCTGCTCCCTCTTTAACTAGTGGCTTGTGAAATTCACGACCAGCACGAGAATGAATAGTTGCCCAGCAATGCTCACAGTAGTACTGCAGACAGGTAACATTAGCACAGAAGAATGGTGCAAACTTGCCCGCACATCGTGCTCCCTGGCATTCATCACACATTTGGTCATCCAAAACATAAGGTTTCACTTCCACCTTAAAAATGAAAGCAAACAAATTATTATCATAAACCTACATTCAGTCAACAAATCAGTAAATATTAATTACAAGTATATATGCGTGTCATCAGGAACACAGATTATTGAAATGTGCACAAAATAAATATTAATAATCAAAATGGCAGACGTATTCATTCATACAACTACAGAAATAAATCCATATTTGTAAGCATTTGTCTTTGTGGTACCATATTGGAGATACAATATAGTCATGTGCGTGTTGAATGCCATTACTTAAGTTTTCTTTGGAGCTTTTGTTTGTATTTAATTCCCTAGCTTGTAGGCATACAATCAATATTCCTCAAGCTGTTGTCACAACCATATGCCGGGTATAAAATCCATATTATGCCTGATTTGTTTCAATAGCAGGGTTTGCTTTATTTCAAGAATAGACAGGAAGATAAATTCTTCACCAGTATCATTTATAGTGGGCAATGAGTGTCCAAAGCTGAGGCGAAAACTAATATATTTAAAAAAGTTATTGATGAAAAAAGCCCTAACCCTATATTCTTTAGACATCGCCTGTGAAGGTTGTTATTTTCCTTTCATACCAGCTATATGTGGAGGTTTTCAGCAGGCGATATGATAATCACAATTATACAAGAAGTTTCACTGCACTAAATTTAATAATACCGGTACTACAACCTTTCCTGAAAATCCTTAATGATTAGATATTTGGCAAAAATCCTTGATTAGTAGTATAAAGTAATAAAACATTCAATGGTAATTTAATGTTCTTCCAAGGAAACAAATTGTATTTTTTGTTTAACTCTACTATAGTGGCCCCTGCTCTATAATCATCTGGGGGAAAACCCTGTATTTGCCTCAATAGGTGGGATCCTATAATAATATCACAGCACCATTATGGGATTTCAGGCTAGCCACTGGTATCTGGATAACAGCATTTAAAATACCAAACATATTTATTTTATAATGTTTAACTATCAAAAGCAAATAATCCAATTTGAAATAGAATTTGAAAAATCCAAGAAATGAAGAAAATCATTTTGTATTAATGGTAAACTTGCCTCTTTAGAATCTCAATACTGATATTTTTCAATTTACAAAAATGTCAGTTTTAGTACTCTAGTTCAAAATTTATGACTATGCAAAGCATATACTGACACATACAGAATAACAAAACTAATTTTCTAATATGAACACGACCTAATATCAACATGTTTGCCAGCTCAACTACTTGATTTGAAGTTAAAAGCATTTAGCTTCATTAGTTGACATTTTCAATTCTTGCAAGAAAACACTTAATGACAAGTTGACATTTCCTTGGTCTGTTTCTCTTTCTATTTCACTTGAGCCAATTTTCACTTCATTTCATCCAGAAACAAGTGTACTCTCTTGACTTCCAAGTTTTTTTTTTTTCCAATATTTTTTTAATGACTGCTGTCATATTTTTTTCTATCTAATTGCCTGATTATTCAATGGAAAACCACCATTTCTTTCTATAATTTAGTCATTTTCCATTTCAATTCATCACTACATCAGAATATAATACATCTAAAGCTCTAACAATTTGCTCACCTTGCAAGCTGTTACACAGACTTTTTATGTTAAAATAAAGATAATAGGGATGAAAGTGCTTAATACCGGAAATTCTGTTAAACTCAATACACAATACAAACCAACCACCTCACAACTAATAGCTAGAAGCAATAATTGAAAATGATGTTCAGATAAATGACAACACATGTCTCCGTTTTTTAGTTTAATATATTTGTATTTTGCCTATATATAATATTTTAAAAGGTCACGAGTAGAAAAAAATGTACGCTTTAATTTATTTTGGGTGATTGGACCAGAATCATTCAATATTGGATTTGTATATCTCTATATGATCAGAAGATATTTTTAAATTACCCTCTAATCTTACAAAATGTAAAAAAATCACAAGTAGTAAAATTCAATTTACTCTTACTGACTACAATATGGTTGGAGAATATCTGTTACTAAAAAAAAAATACCATATTCAATGAAACAAAAGTCACTGTTTTTGCCTCTCCAGTAACGATTTACCGGTATTAAAATATATTTCTCCATTACATGATTAGCTCAACAATAGAAACCTTTAAGAATTCTTTTCATATTTAAATATGTAAAAATGCTTTGGAATGTGTGCTAAACACAATGCATTATTTAGCGCATTCAGATTAATTTTGCTTCACTTCCCTTCATTTTACTATTTCCTGCCACATCAGATTACTATGGCAATATCAAGAATCACCATTTCTCTATTACCATATGTTAGCCTACCATCAATGTTACTGTTAATGCTTTTTTTTTCTTTTTGCAATTGTGAATGTAAGTTGATACATGTCAATAATAAAAAGCAATAAATGAATACTGCATTCATTATTCGTATAATGCTAGGTTTTTTGAAGTGATTTGCTAGTGTCCAACCAATCGGTTTATTTAGCTGAATTTTCAACTATATGTTAAAAACAGTCACACCAAAACTGAACTTGATTCAAATTACATAGTGACTTCCAAGATATTCAATTTTGAAGATTATACAAGACACATTACCCCCACCCTCGCCAACTGACAGTCACAATTTAGATACAACAGCATGAACATAACGAAGGCACATTACCAGTCTACATGTAGGTTCATTGGTTCCCTGTAACGGAAGGAGGCACACTGATTGGTGCATATGTAAGCTACTGAATACTGTTAATACTGAAAATCACAAAACTGACATCTAGAACAAGGATGAGTTTTCAGTAGTTGCAGAGACTTGTGAAGGATGCACATGGCACATACCGGTACTTTAGAACGCCACTTGTTATTGTTGTGAAACGCACAAATATTAGATATAGGAATTATTGTCGAATAATTTTATTTTATAATGAAATTCTAAGCAAATTTGAATTTGTAAAATTTGCAAACAGTTTTGATCTGAACTATCCACATTTGATGTCATCTCACCGACCCTCATTTTAGTGTTGGGTAAAATATCACAAGCCTGAATAGTTTTGTTATACACTACACTCACAAGGTTGCAGATAAAAGGTGTTATTTCTGAATTCAGAGTTTCACTTGATGTGCCGTTGTTACCACAGGTCAAAAAATAACATCAAAAGATCAAAATGTAAATTTTATGATTGGGCATGGCCACTAGTTGGCTATTTTCAAGCAAATAATAAATATAATGCAGGAACTAATATTTGGTTATGATTATGTGTGAAATTATCATTTATAAATGCAATAATTTACCCTCTTGTCAATGTCTCCATGTTGTAATTGCACAAACCGAGCACTGATAGCAGCAATGTAGCTTTGTTGGTTAGAAAATGCCACACGACCAGCTCCTTTGGGGTATTTCAACTCTGGATCTGTATCAATCCCAGCATAACAAACACCACCATAAAGACGATCCATAATCATTGCCAACTCAACTGAAATACAGATAAATAAATTTTAAATCAACTGCATGTGTGTATTGCGACTCAATTCACTGTAAATCACCCACAAGTTTTGATTTTTTTTTTAAATTCAATCAAACAGCAGCAGCTATGGCTATTTTACATTGTGTACTAGTAAACTGTTTAATTTTCACTGCTAGAAATATTTGCAATTTCAGCATTTGCCATTTGTGAATACAACATTTCCTTGCAACACAATTCGCAAAACTCGTGAAAATCTGTTTTTCACAAAATTACAATGGTTTACAGGCTTTGCAGTATTCATACATCACGACTGAATACTAACTGAGAAATCTATGTACATGTGACTCGCACTTAACATTTCAATAATGACAAAATATGCTTTCAATTTTTCAAATATTTGGACATTTTCCTTCATCACTTGTGTTCTATTTCAGGAATATTACAGTAATATGCTTCAGTGACCTCATTGCATTAAATGCAACCTGCATAAACAACAAACAACATTGAGTTTTCACATCCGGTCACAGTTGGCAATAATTGCTGGTGCACATCTGCTGATAACACATTTTGAATATCTGCTACAATTCACAAACACCACAGTGAATCACCTCATAGATGTTTATTCTAGTAACAGCACTTACAATAGACAGTCAAACTAATGATTCTTTATTTAAGTTTTTGCACACTCAATATTTGTAAAAAGAAAAACAAGCAGCCTATCGGCTGAGATAGCTCCGCTGTTAGCAATGCACATTTCAATTAAAGAACTGATGAAGACATCATTAGAAAATGAACAATATGTATAGTATCAAAGCAATCGGACTTACAGTTTTTAACAAGAAGTCGAAAATATCACTTTTTACCAAAAATTACAAAAATATTCACCAAAATTAGAGAATTGAAGATATCATCACGAAATGAACAAATCTAAGAAAGGTCTACATGTAGTATCTATATAGTAATATCAAAGCAATTGAACTTTTGGTTTTTAACAAGTCGAAAATATCACTTTTTACCAAAAATTACAAAAATATTCACCAAAATTAGAGAATTGAAGATACCATCACAAAATGAACAAATCTGAGAGAGGTCCACATGTAGTACCTATATATGTAATATCAAAGCAATCAGACTATTGGTTTTTTACAAGAAGTCGAAAATATCACTTTTTACCAACAATGACAAAAATATTCACCAAAATTATAGAATCGAAGATACCATCACGAAATAAACAAATCTGAGAAAGGTCCACATGTAGTACCTATATATGTAATATCAAAGCAATCGGACTTGTGGTTTTTAACAAGTCGAAAATATCACTTTTTACCAAAAATTACAAAAATATTCACCAAAATTAGAGAATTAAAGATATCATTACAAAATGAACAAATCTGAGAGAGGTCCACATGTAGTACCTATATATGTAATATCAAAGCAATTGCACTTGCGGTTTTTAACAAGAAGTCGAAAATATCACTTTTTACCAAAAATGACAAAAATATTCACCAAAATTAGAGAATTGAAGATATCAACATGAAATGAACAAACCTAAGAGAGGTCTACCCAAGGTACATATACACCAAGTATCAAAGCATTCAGGCTTGTAGTTTTCAAGAAGAAGTCGAAAAAGTAAAACATTGACACGGACGACGACGACGGACAATCACTCATATGATAAGCTCCGCTCGACAAAGTCGACAGCGGAGCTAACAAAGCTGTGTCACCAACTAATTTTTGAAACAGTCGTGTTTTAAATATTGTAGACAGTTAATACACAAAGCTCTATGAGGGAAAAATAAAAAAAAGTGAATGTTTTTTGAGCAACATTTACACAAATTTACTAAATGCAATCTGTCAAAAAATTAAATAACTATATACATGGAAATGAAATGAACAAATCTGATAAAGGTCCACCCAAGGTACCTAAATATAAAACATCAAAACAAATTCCCAATTTTCCAGTTCTCAATGGCAGCTAATTCACATATACATTTCAAGGTTTTGCCGTGCGGGGGCGTACTCCCAGTGGGGTTGTTTTGTGCTGTTCACAAAACCGTAACAATGAAAAATTTGCTTTCGAGAAAAGTTTCTGAATTACGTCAGTTTCTACAAGGATGAGGGATAACTTGTTGTAATACACGAAAAGCCAAGCTGATTGAACTCGTGAAACTTGCAAATGTGTTAAAAGTTCGCCTTTAGAGCCTGACGATCGCGAAACCTCAAGCAAGCGTCGTCGTACAGTTCAAGACAAGGAATCTACCCTGGCATTAGAAGATCAGTATACTATCAAAACCTTGGAGAAAACCCTCCATTACATGCCATCATTTGAAACTGCAGATATATTTGCGTACTTAATACATTGATGTGACTGGACACCTTCCAGGTTAAAAGAATATCGACTTGACAATGGTTTTCTTCTGTACAAAGATGGACATATTGTTTCCGTCAACCTTCACCATGTTAAAGAAACTGAATTTATTTACATCGTGGCCGAGTGTGTTCGAGAAACATCCCAAAAAGAAAAACCTTACCAATGCTGGTTTCTGGTTAAACAAGTTCAGAAATAATTTCCGGTGGCTGTAATTGCGTTGCGCAAGTAATTTTTTATTTTATTAAGAAATAGATGCAACTACAAGCATCACTGAACATAAGTTACACTTCCGCTCCTTGTCGAGTGACTTTAAATAAATCTTATTACCGGTAATACATGTAATCGCTTTAATGATTGTAGCTAAAAATAATTTTCATTGAAAATATAATTCTTATTCATGCAAACACTATGTGGCACTACTAATCAGTATCCAGGATTTTGACTTGCGCCACAAAGATCACGCAACACAGGTCGGCACTGACGTTGCACGTATATGGGACAAGCCGAGAAAGGAATCCACCCTCCAGCAAATTGATAATATCGATATAAGACGAAATAAAACGCGTCCAGCCACTGCTAAACCAACATTGTCATCTTACAACCCAGGAAGAAAATCATGCCATGAAAACAACGAAGATTTAATCAAAACTACCGGTAGTCACGATATTTTCCCCCCGTGAACTCATGCTACAACCACATGTTGGATCCAATGTTAAACTCAGTAACAGAACCACCAACAATTCCGGATTTAGGCAATAAATTCAAATCTTCAAGTGCAACCAATTTTATACAGTACATGGCAAATGAACTCACTGTGTCCGACATTGAACTAATGACATTACTTTCACTAAATCAGCGAAACTTGTCGCATTCGTTTAAATATTGACATGGCCGAGTAATAGCCAGTAGGTATAGCTAACTCCATGATTCATAAGTGGGAAACTAATTATTCAGACAACTACATCGTGAAAAAAATAGTAAGTACTCGCAATCAGCAAGTGCTAGATTTTGGCATCAATAATGAAATTCACTGCAGTCAATAATACACCGGGTTATAATATTAAATATATTCTGGATATTTTGTCAGATTTGTTTTCTTTATGGCACTGGAAGAACAGCCAGGAGCATTGCAATACCAATTTACCATTGTGATTATTGCGTCCTCGTAAGTAAGCCAAGAAATTCACTTTGTGTCAGCAAGTAAACGCCAAAGCTGTGGTTATTTTAACCCCACTCAGAGCCGTGACAGTGGTTGTCATCCGAGTACTTTGATAACCGCCAAGCGCGGCCTTCTAGGGAAAACCAAGATCTTGAAAATTGGGAATTGGCTAGCTATTTTGAAGAAGTTGAATAAAGCAGTTGAAACAAACTAATAATAGCAGTACAAATCAACATACATGTGTGATAAAGGTTGACAAAGCTGACAATACAAAGAACGGACATTTCACCCTCATATACCTTGACATATAACAAACGTAGCAAAAAATAGAAAAAAATTCAACAGCAATCCAAGTGTGATGTTCATACCAAGTTTGATTAAAATCTGGCGTTCACTGCCAGAAATTGTTATACAAACACCATACATGCATGCTGCTCATATCAACTGGACCTCTATCAGGCTTGATTAACAAAGATTACAAGTTTTTTGTAAATACTGAAGTCGTATGTATGATAGTAGTATATTTACCTGCTCTTAATGGTCTTGGAACACCACCAACAAAGATAGTTTTTCTAGGATCTAATGGCTGCGACCCATCCATCACATAGTCACTATCAGCAAGATTCCAAGGACGAATTTGTACCTTCAATAAGAAACAAATTTTGTTAACAATTTTATAATGCCATACAGCAATGTTATGCCATAATAGTCTTCAATATACTGCTACATTTGTAAGCATATTAAAACAAAAATAGGACTTTCACAGTTTTTTCACAACCAATCCCGCTGGTGTTTTTTGGGAAAAAAAAATCAAAAACCAAAAATATTAACGAGCAATAGAGAATTGATACTATCATCAAATGAACAAAATTAATAGATCTGGATCTGCCAATCAAATATGAATTAAATTGGTTTGATGGTTTTTAAAAATAAATAAACATGTTGTAATGCAATGAAAAAAATCAAAGGAAGAAAACACCCAATGTACATAAATATCTGCTTGAGTGGGATTAATAAATTCAATTTGGTTTGCGGTTTTGAAGACAATTTTGAACATATTGAAGTTTGATGGACAAACGGTAATATGAAAACATCTGGCATATGATAATCTATAGGATTTCTATTGAGTTTGAAAAGCAGTTGATTCATGGAATATCCAAAGGTCTAAAGGGAAGCATTAGCCTTTACTTTGCATTTAAAAGGGAACAGTGTGTGGGAGTAGATGATGCCATCAACTGTACACGATCTAGTACTAATTATGTACATGTACTGGCTCATGTGGTTAAATCTAAAATTGATTTATTTTGTGAATGTTATCACAACTCGCCATGCAGTGACATGTTAGACTGACAATTCATGCAGCAGCATGCATGCATGCATGAACTGACACCATGAATGATTTCTATCAACTATCACAAGTGACCTTTATCACAGAGAGGAACCAAGTAACAACCAAGCATCAATTGTAATTTACATATCAGTCAATTCTTCATGTAGTTTAGATGGGTGAATGCATTAAATACTTGCATAGTAATAGAAACAATTATCAATGACATACATGAAGTACCCATTTATATTTGTTAAAAAAAAAATGGAAATTTCACTGAAACAAAAAACAAATTGGCAAGAATATGAAAAATGTAACATAAAACCAAAATGAGCTTCACTACCTATCCTTTATGAAGTTTGAATAAATTTGCCAAGGGTATACCAGAGAAATGGTTTATGAAATAGTTTTTTAGAAAAAAAAACTCCAAAACGAGACCAAAATAGAAATGAACATGCATTAAGTCTTGTCTTAGTACTAATTTTGAACAAAAGCAGTCACAGCATTTCTAATAAATGGTTAAGGACATCAAAATTTACAACATGAAAAATATTTACTTTGTTTTCAGTTTAATTTATTCAAGAGCATTGAAATGTGATCAGAACTTGAGATATTAGTGGAGAAGCCAAAAACTGACTAATCATTATGCAAATTAGGTGTTCAATATGCACAGATGGTGCTAGAGCATTTATATGCCAAGTTTCATTGAAATGTTGTGATTAGTACTTGTAATATAAGCAGAGAAACCGGAAATTGACTGAGTTGAACATAAAGAAATAAAAGGTCTGGGAAGACCAGTCCAAACATTATTATTCAAAATAAATACAAGTAGGCATGTTTTCAATTACAAAAGGCCACGAAAAGAAGCCATTTCCTCTTAGACAGGTGATCGATTTAAAGTTTGCCCGATGTTCACAGATGTTTGGGAGAATACATTATGACACTTATTAATATTATAATCTTGTCTCGACTACATACCACTCTTGATCATGTTGCCCATTGTCCTGGCTTTACGCTTATATTTTTGTGTAACTCCACATTTGGTAGTTTGCACATTAGTAATCTTTCTCTTTTATATTAAGAAGAATATTTGGTTATTTTAGCTAACTTTACTGTGGTTTTATCTTAGAAACTAAAGCAGCAAAACTTACTGGTTTATCTTTGATTGTAGGGCTTGATACACACAAGTACAATTTGTCACCATCCTTGAGACAAGCATCTATCAACTCTTGAACTGATCTCTCATCTTGGAAGAGCAAGAAAGCATATCCTGAGACATAAAAAAAGTTTTCATGTTTTAGGTAGCGCTTTTAAAATTTAAAACCATATTAGTTATATGAAGTGGATTTCAAATCCATTACGGATTGTTTTGGTATCCTCCACAAATTATTGTCACCATATGAAACAAACCATGCATGGCACAGTCCCTGTCAATTATCAAATTTAAGATACATAGTACCGGTCACTGGTAGCATAGCGGTTGTCGCATGCGACTTGTGATCGGTAGACCCAAGTTCAAATCCTACCTTAGGCTGAACATCAAAGGGTCGACCCCTCCCCTGGGTGAGTGTGCCATATCCTCAATAGGAAGACCAATTCCACTGGCCGAGATTCATTCACTAACGAATGCGACTTTGAGGGAACCTTGGTTAAGGTCTGCAGGTGTTTGTGTTCGACTGAGCCTGGTTGACGCCAGGATAGCGCATTAAAAAACTTGCCATTTGACAGAGAGATGGCCACACAGCCCTGTAGTCCCAAACATGAATACTGTAGAATACTTTATTTTCGCTATTTTTGCTGAAGGGATGTTTCCGTGAAAATAAAATCCAGCGAATATAATTTTTTTCCAATATTTCACATTAAACTCATCAAAAATCAGTGAAAATAAATTTCACACAAAACGCCCCAAAAGCCTTTTCAGCGAAAATTAATTCCAGCGAAAATAAAGTATTCCACAGTATGACTTCTGTGGCAAAATGCTCTATGTGTCAGCACTTGCAATTTGCACATACAAAATAAAAAACTGTCAGGAGAGACAACAGTGACATTCAATGTCCAGAACTGTCGCCCAGCACAAAAAATATTTAAACAAGCAGCCTGTCGGCTGAGATAGCTCCGCTGTTAGCAATGCACATTGCAATTAAAGAACAGAAGATATCATTAGAAAATGAACAATATGTATAGTATCAAAGCAACAGGACTTGCTGTTTCAACAAGAATTCAAAAATATCACTTTTCACCAAAAATAATCATCAAAATCAAAGAAAGCTTAGAAAGAACTCCCGTGTGCTGAGGGAATAGGGATCATGACGTAATATTCAGGAATATTTGAAAATGATAAACAAATTATGAATAATCTATTAAATAAGGAGGCACCAGTAGTCATCTGCACACATAGACCTTGTATACCTAACAATAAGCCTACTTAAAAATATGCATAAAAAGTCTACACAAAATTGAAACATTAAAAAGAAAACTGAAATAATTCATAAAACATTGGGGAAAATGAAATGCAATGAAAATAGTAAACAAATAAATGCCCAAAATAACTTATAGGGCATTTAAACATATTTTAGAAATTTAGTTAACACAGAAAACGTAAAGTAGCAAAAACAACTATGTAAATTTCTGACAAACATTCTAAACATCTAAAATTCAAACCACTATCTTAATATCAATATGTGTTTCAATAAATATTATATTTATTTATTTTCAGTTACGTATATTAATAAGGAAGGCATCACAATCTTTTGGATTGGTTCGTATATCCCAAAAATCGACATGGTAAAATTACAACCATCGTACAGCTCAGTACCATAACAAATATAATAATTTACGGCAAACGTACTTCTCGGTACATAAAATTCAAAGTAATCCCCAACGCGTCTCATTTGATACTGCGTATAAATTGACACTATCTGGGGCACGTCGCACGCGATGAGTATCAACCAAAAATACACACAGGACATTTTAAGTGGCTCAAAACAAAACCTATTCGCTAATTTTCGTTTCGAAAACATCTACGATGGCTTAAAACCCTGCAGCCCGCATGTTTTTTTTTTTACCAGGCAGGAGACGCCGGTCAGCGTGGCATTGCCCCAGTGGTTTCCACTATGCATCCAGTAGT